ATCCTAATGCTTGTGCATGAGCACAGTGCAGTGCTGGCAGGCGGTTGCTAGGACTTCTTAACAGATTCAGCAGCAGCCAGGGATGCATTCACAGCATAGCTGATTCCATTGCTATGCCTGCCAACTAGTGGACAGATGGGCAGTGAGCTCCTTAATTAGCAAAATCCACATCAAGAGTACATTTTCTGCATCTTTTTTATTTCCCCTGCATATGATTAGGATTGATATGGTACTGGTAGAAATTTGATTTTTTTAAATTATTTTCTACCTTGAGGTTGCTGCCTGTTCCTGGCTACATCTCTTCTATTGAACTTGATAGAAGCTGCAGGTGCCTAATTATCCAAAAACCAGGCCATTTATTTGAGTGCTTATGGGCAGATTTATGAGTCTTCTTATATATCATAATGCTTTAATTTTAAATTTATATAGCACAAAATTCAACCACTGTGTAAGAAAAAATTCTAGCAATATATCCAAGGTCTGCTGACCCCCATAGCAATTGTAAAAAATTAGTCTGATGTGGGTAATGGTTAGTAACATTAGACAGAATGATAGGGTGTCTTCACATGTCCTGCAGTATTTATGTTTGTGCCACTCATTCTTTACAAAACAGTTTTTGGAAAACATTAAGGCAGGAGCAGCTCTCCAGCAACACAGGGTCAGAAAGGTGTCTTCAGTTAGTTCCACAAGGTCCCAGAAATGCAGGTTCATCTGTGGGGTTTTTGGTACATGTATTGGAGAGGGTTGGCACAGTGTGCAGAACCAGCTTTAGGACTTGCATGGTTTGCTAAATCTGCAGGGACATGTCAGTGTGACTGCAGCGATCATAAGTGCAAACAGAAGAGGCCTTAGAACATGCAGGAAATGGCTGTCTCTCCACCCATGTCTCAAAGCTTCCTTCTTTTTAAATCAGATCATATCTTTTAACACACATGAAATAAAAGAAAAATATATGAATTTGAGTATCTGTTGCTATGAACATTAATACAAGAGCAGAGGATATCAAAGATGACAATTTTACCAAACATACCTCATGAGAAAAGAAGTCATCCTCAATATCAGTCATGTACAGATTGCAAATAATGACACTGAGAGCCATTTGGAGATGTTAGTTCAACTGATCCAACCAGCACATACAGGCCTGTGTCCTAAACAGCAGTCTGAAGACATGAAGCTTGCTACGATTATATCCTTTAATGAGGAGCAAAGAAGAACTCACCTGGCTCCCCAGGGCTCTGATAGCTCAAAGTGGTGGAAAAGAGCAGAAGGCTGTTTTGGCTTTTTTTTTCTCCACAAATAAGGTCGCTGCTGTTTTCTGGCATACAGCACACACATGTGCCATTCCACAAGAACACTTAAAGAGAAGACTATTCTAGGAAGTATGTGAAGTAATCTAGAGCAAATCCAGCACAGCTAACAGTGATGAAATTCTGAAAAACTGCCACACCTATTCAAAATAGTTGGAGGATGTGAAAAAGGTGTTTAGGACAGTTTTATGAGCATGTCTGATTGTGTGAAAACTGAGAAAGAAGCCAGATAAGTATGGATGATGTGACTTATTTGGAATGTAGGATGAGAAGAGGTCCGATCAGACAGGAATTGACTACACTGGAAACTAACCTGCCAAACGAACACCAGATGCTTCTTCAGGACATTATTCCCTCTCATGGTAAATGCCTATTGCCTAATTGCCCAAAACCTACATTAAAAGCTCAGAGGTGTTTTCTGTTTGGGGCAATACAAGAGGTGATCACAGACCATAGCACCTTGCTGGGGATATTTCATCACCTATAGCATGAGTACCAAATCATGCTATAAATCTTTAGAAATACTCATTCTATGTTCTTCATTAAAGTTATTTGAAAAATAATTAAACTCTAATGATATACAAAAAAAAAAAAAAGTGAGTGGAGCAAAACTCTAGAGTTATCTGTCTATGTCAGATGCTTTGTGATTAATTTTGTGACTGCCACATAGTTACTTTTATTAACACAGGAATATCCTTTTTGTTTATATCACATCTACTGATCTCCATTGTCCATCCTGTGGACAAAAATTTCCCACCTAAGCACACTGGGCAATATCACTGCACTTCAGTTGAACAATAACTGGATTCATAAAGTAACGTTTGTTTTCCTGGATTCATTCTAGGCAGCACACCATTCAAACATGTGATCACCACTCCTAGCCAAGGGAGACGTCAGAAACCTCTTTCTTTATCATATATTCATTTTTCTTGGACAGGTAATCCCTGATTTGAAGCCAATAAGAAATTTCCATTGTAAAATAAAGAAAAAAAATCCAGACCTAAACATTTATTTATTTTCTTTAATGCAGAAAATTTCCAAAGCTCCAGCACACAGCCCAGTCTTCATTCAGGCAAACTGCTCAGTAACATCATAAGAGGACATAAAAACCATGCAAAGAACAACTGTAAAAATAAGAGAACTGACTTATCATAAAAGAAGTTATCTGCCACGTGAATTAAAGGAAGCTAAGCATGCTGTTTCAGATAACACAGACAACACAGTACTTTCTAATTAAATATTCTTTCAGTGGATCTGTTACTGGGTGCAGGTAAAGACTGCTTCCTCCAGGAATTTCAAATATTTGCAAAGCGTGAGAGATAAAAAAGAAGAATTCAGAGAGGAGCATGACTATGGGAACACATATAGCTGCAGGGTTCCACCACTGATCTGTATTTAGAGCACATCAAAATTGTTTTTGTAGTAGATAAAAAGAAAAAAGAAAAGAAGAAAACCACCGCCACGAACAAAAAACCAACAGTGCCTTTATATGTTTTGCTTGTAGAAAGATGAAGTGCACATTAATTGTCACATCTCAATATACAGAGGACCCACAGGCCTGTCTACACCCGCACTGAGATGGAGGTGCACCCCCTAAACATGCACCCCTCATGTTTCTTTTTCTTTCCGATTTTTTTGATAGAATTTCATTTTGATAAAATTAAATTAAACAAGCAAATCTTCCGTATGTCAAGATGGAAAAATTTACCACTTGTACTTTGTACTTTACATTTCTTCCTCCTGACTGAAGTAATTTTATCAACATAATACAGGCAGCAGGGCAACACTTCATAAGCCAGATGTTTATTGACCTGCATGACACTCCAAGTGTTTTCCTCCAGCTTATTTGTGATATGACCATAACAGATAACATCTGAAGTAATGTGGGAAAATAGGTCTATAAATTCAGTTGCTTTTGATTTTTGCTTCAGATCATTTTGATTTCACTGGATTTTGTTTCTTGCAGGTAAGAACCATGACTGAAAAAAAAAAAAAAAAAAAAAGATCAAAAGATCAAAAAAACCCAATTGATCTTTCAGATAGTCCCCAAATTTCCCTGTTGAATGCCAGAAGAGGGCATTTCAAAGGGGGGTGAAACAAGAAAAATGTCAGTAATTCAATGAAAGTAAGGAAGTTAACATAGCAAAATAAATGCTGTGTATTGTATAATTATCATTTTATTGGAAGATATTGCCATAGTCATTAAAACATTGTATGAAAATAATTGTTCTGAACTAAAAAGCTGGAAGGCTAATTGGTATGATGCTTCTGAAGTCAAAGGTATTACAGAATAATTTAGGCATGCCAGAGGTTAAGGATGCATAAACATACAGGAGAACCCTTTGGAGAGAATTATGCCAAACAGTAATTAGCAATGACCAGAAAATTGTATTTTTCTTTCTGTCTGTCATCTGAAGCCTCTAAGATCCCTTAAGCTACAAAATGAACACGGAAAGGAAACACAGAATAGATATGAATAGTCAGGCTTATTTGAAGAAGGATGCTCAGATGCATCTGCTTTTTTGAAACAAGCAACATGCAGCCTTTGGCTAGGAGCTTCCCAGTTATTAATAAAGTGACTGCTGTAGAAATAACTGCAGCATCTACTCTTATTCCCTTACCCCCTGGTATTTGAATGACTCTTTAGCTGGAAACTGTTGGCTGTACAGCTGATTTAGTGAAACAATTTGTGAGCGCCCCTCATTCTGTTCAGTGCAGTTACCTGGATGCCATGAAACTCAACAAGGCTTTAAGGGGCAACTTCACTGGTATTATCCTGAAACATTCATAGAATCATGGAACCACAAGGTTGGAAAGGACCTACAAGATCATCCAGTCCAATAATCCTCCCATTGCCATTGCTAGAACAAGCCACTAGACCATATCTCGTAGCTCCTCATCCAGACACCTCTTGAACACTGACAAGGACATCAACTCCATCACCTTGCTGGGCAGGACATTCCAGTGCCTGACCACTCTCTGAGAGAAGCTGTTTTTCCTTATGTCTAATCTAAATCTCCTCTGGTACAAGCTGTGGCCGTTCATGATAGCGACCGACAGACCTGAGTCATCTGTCTCAGATGAGGATGAAGCAAATGAGCAGAAAGATGGTGAGACTCGCACATTTTTGAATGTGGAAGGTATTTCTGAATTTGGTATGGCATCAGGCTAATCTTTCTACTACAGAAAGAGGCTGGGAAAATTTTATGTTATCCAAGTGATGCTTTGTTGCAGAACAGAGCTGTCCAGCGAGATTACCTTTCTGCACTCTGTTGTTACTCCTAGAAAGTAAGTTTCTGTATGATTTTTCAATGTAAAAGTTACATAAGTTAAATAATTGACTTGCTACTAATTTCTTTTTCATGCAAAAAAACTCAGCTGAGATTTTTTTCAGCTTACCTCAGAATCAGAGTATTTCTTGAATACTGAAACAAATTGCCCTCAAGTACTATCTTTTTAATATTTAAATTGAGTGCAGAGGGTTAAGCTGAAATATTTGCTTTGCCCTGTGCAATGGAAATACTGAGTCATGGCCAGAACCAAATTAAGCACCTGGTGGGAAGGCAGGGCCAAGTCAGGAGAACTCAGGTGCATGCAATGCAGCTGAGTGATGGGAATGGGGTGGAACCAGGATCCGCCCCTTCCCAGACCTCATTTAAGGGTTGGCAGTGCAGGTAAGGGTCTCTTTTGCTGGAGATCCTTGCTTACTGGAGGTCTTGTAAAGGTAAGCAGTTCTTCTTTCTTTGTGTCTGTGTGTAGGATGGCTGTGTTTGGGTTTGTTCTCATCTGCTGCAACCTAGGATTGTATTCCTCTGCTATTACTGGTGTACTTTCCATCGTGTTATAGTATTATAACCTGTGTCTCATAGAAAATTTGCAAGTCTTTGATAAACATTTTCAAATGCTATGCTCCTAGGGCTAGAGAAGATATCAATAATTAACTTCAAACTTTATGTGAAAAAATATCTCCAATTTACAGAAGAGGTTTCTGTGATAGTGTTTACCCAATAACATCTGACCTCACTTTAGGTGACTGTGTTTGATACTGTGTTTGATACTGTGTTTGAAGCTATATCTTTCTCCATAGACAGTGCTGTTAATTGTTGGCTCTGTTATTAGCTTAGGACCCTCATCCAGAATATAGGATGTACACTGATGGAGGAAGACATGTATTCAAGTAGCCTGTGGTGTGTTGCTGAGAAGAGCCATGTGTGAGTTAAACAAATTCTTTTAAGGAATATTTCGCTATTTATATAAAGTAGAAGTGGGCACGTTATTCCTTACAGCTTCCAGTTCTTTCAAGCACAGTAGGAAACTAAATAATAGAATCATGAAATAGTTTGAAGAGACCATTAAAGGTCATCCAGTGGAAATCCCTGCAATGAACAGGGATGCCTACAGCTATGTCAGGTTGCTCAGAGCCCATCTAGCCTTACCTTGAATATTTCTAGGGATGGGGCATCTACCACCTCTCTGGCCAACCTGTGCCAGTGCTGAAATTTAATCTCTCTATGTATCTTTCAGTAAGTAATCTGGATAAGAGATAATCATTCTGTTCTCTGATAGCTTTGGGACTCCAGCTCCTTAGAGATCCCCAGAGAAACTATTAGCTGAAGTCAGAATTTCAGAACAGTTGCACTTTTTAAAACTCTATTTATTGCCTAAAAAAGCACAGCTCTAGATATTGTCTATTGGCCAATTTTCACATAGGAAAACCGTGCTGTGTCCTTTCTCCTGTCCTCCTTTTATGGATCTGAATAGATCTGTCTTAAAATGATGTAAACTGAATCTCATTTTTAATGATTGTTTCCTATTTTATCTTCAAATGGTTTAGAAATACCACTAGTGTTTCAATCTTTGGTACTTAAATTGGATATAAAGAAAGGCAACAGTATATCTTAGTTAATTTCCGCAGATCAGAATTACTAATATTTCTTAAATGAGGCATTAGAGAACTTTGCCTGGGGGATGTAATTTATAAACTTCTGTAGCCGATAAAGCTAGGATTGAGGAAAAAGCTTTAAGTGAATAAATAAAAGTAGTAGTTGGAATTCTTGTTTTAGTATTAACATATTTAAAATCAGATTATAGATAACATGCAGAGGGATAGAAACAAAAAGCACTTATGTTGCCACAGACTCTCTGTTCTGCAGCGTGACTTCATGCAGGTTACAATGTACCCCAGCAATGTAGCAGCAAGGCACAGTTGTGAGATGTGTCTGAAAACGCCAGATGGGCTCCAGAAAACTGGTCTTAAAAAAGGATTAAAGTAGCGTGTGGGGGATGGGATGTGTCTAGTGGATAATAATAAACATTACAGTGTGAGTGCTGCTTTGAGTTGGACAAAGTGTTAGCAGCTCAGGTGGTGTAACTCTTCTTGCCAAAATCCAAATGCATGGTGCTGCCTGTGGGTAAGAGATATTCTGTATAAAAACAATTATTGTATGACAAATGCTGAAGTTGTTTCTCCTACCTGGAGAACTACCTTTTCTAAAGTCTCTTCCGTGTTTCAGTTTGATGTCAGTTGTTTAGAACAATAAAGGGAAAGGAACCAAAGCTTGGACTAAAGCCTGTAATGTCTCCCAAAATGTATGTATAAGGAAGTACCAAAGATACTTAATGAGCATTAACTAAGCAGGAAAGAAACTGAAAAGAATGAACAAGAAAAAAAAAAAAAAATGAACAGCAGCTTTTGACTGTCTCCAAAATTTCACTGCAACTTAATGGGATTTAGAGGTCCATGTGATGTGTCTTATCTATCTGATTGACAAGAAAAATATATTTACATTCTTCTTGGTTATTTGATTTCAAGAGAAACATTAAATGTTATTCAGCAATGATATGTAGAATATATAAACAAGCTATTAAATATTCATTTGTACAAGCTGGAGTGGTGGCTATCCATTTAGTATTTGTGGATTCCTATCTGTGTGTATAGTTACTGTGAGCTTCATGAACAGAGGAAATAATATTTCCTTCTTTGCACTAATGATCTATCAAGTAAATGTTTTCAGGTAACTTCAGCTCTGACACAGTACCAGTCTCTTCGAAAGAGTTATGTTGGCTACCTGAGGTCTAAATGTGCGAGGTCTTCTGAAATTCCTCACATTTTGTTGTTTGTCTATATTGCTTCTTCCATTGGTGCAATATTATAGAATCACAGAATGGTCTGGGTTAAAAAGGACCTCAAAGATCACCCAGCTTCAACCCCCCCACCACAGGCAGAGTCACTAATCACTAGAGCAGGCTGTGTAGTGTCACATCCAACCTGGCCTTGAATGCATACAGGGGTAGGGAATCCACAACCTTCTTGGGCAGCCTGTTCCAGTTCTTCACCATAATCTGTTCAGTGTTTAATTTTATCGTTGATAGTTTTCTTCCACTACGATGAGTGGTAACAAAATCATGAAATGCTTGTTCTTGCAATGAGGCTTTATTTAAAGAGATGCAAGTAATGTAAAGTTTTAGGGGGCACAGATGGTTTAGCTCTAACTCTTCCTCCAGTCTCTATTAACTGCTCTAATAGGACATTCCTAATGCAGATGAAAGAAAGGCTTGCCTCAGGCTGCTTCTGATTTACCTTTATTTTACTCAGTTTGGACAGTTTTAAATGTTGAATGTACATTTATGGCTTACTAAATCACATGCACAGCATTTAAGGGCATTATTTTAGTCCATTGGCTATACTCAGTCTACATCTACTTACTATCTACATCAAATGCTGTCTCATGCATTTCAGGTTCACAAGTTGCTTGAAGAAGACCCTTATATGTTTCATCTTATAACTTAAATATGTTATTCATACCATTTCTTTCCTGGGCAATTTAAGAAGTCCCAGAACATCTATAAATATACCTAATTTGCCAACCATGGTAATTTCATGCTCTCTCTCCACTGATGTCCGAATGCAGTGGTGGTTCTGACTCCCTAAAATTAATTTCACATACAAGAAGAAAATGACAGCTCCATTCCTTAGGATCCAGAGCTATCTGTAGGACCTCACTCTTCTGGCTCCATCAACAGAGGTGTACAGAAACCTACCAGAATGCTTGACTGCTGAGTGGCAACATGAGGCAAAGTCTTGTGAAATTCACCTTGAGTACTCTCCCAGTGTCTCTACCAACTTGCTTGAAATGTTTTGTGTATATGCTAGGATCATTGCTCTTTAAGACAGTAAAATTAATAGATTTCTAATATTAGGTCCCTTCCAATCCAAATCTTTATGATTAATTTGTCTTCTTGTGCATTCACCATAGCATTTTCAGTTTTAAACAAGATTACCTCTTTTTCCCCGGTTAAGAAGAGTAATATTTAGGCTCCCTCCACTACTACCATTTTTTACTAGTAAATTTCTACTTTCATTTTAATACACTTAGATTCATCTATAGTCCCTCTCTACACATTATATTTTATTTTTAATAAAACCATGTTTGATTGCTATTGATTATGCATTCCTTTATAATTGCGTCAAACATGACAAACGCAATTCCTTCTGATTAATTGCCAGATTATTATTATTATTATTTTTAGGAAAACAAATCCTCCGTTTCTATAGAGATCCTTAGGGAGAAGGGTGTATTTTTTTCATAAGAATTGCTTATTCAATAGGCTGAATATCAACTCAGTATGAAGATATCTTGTACTTTAGCATTTTTGCTTAACGTTTACAGTTACATCAATTTTTCAACAAGCAGTGAATTAAATACAGAAATGTAATGTTCTCTACTTCGTATGTTTCCACATTCACGTTTACTGTGGGCTTCACATATCATAGTAATTTATTCCATTATAATATTATAATATTATTTTTTCTTTATTTTCTACTTAGTTACTCTATGGTTTCTTTTACACTGAAAATCTAAACAGGCATGCAAATAAAACATGCACAAAATGACTTGTTTTAAACTTCAGGGTATGTGGTCACAGAATCAAAAGACAGCTGAGTTGGGAAGGGGTCCCATCTGGACTCATCCAGTCCTTAAAGCAGGGCTGACTAGAGTAGGTTACTCAGTGCTATGTCTAGCAGGCTTCTGAGTATCACAAAACAGGAGGACTCCAAAGTATCTTTGGACAGCCTCTTTTTGGATTCAACAACTTAAAAAGGATTTAAAATGTTCAAGTGTTATTTCCTGCATTTCATTTTGTCCCATTGCCCTTTCTCACTGAGTATCACTGAAAAGAACGCAGCTCCACAGTTTTTATTTTCCCTCTTCAGGTAGTCGCATACATTGGTAAGGTTCCCCTGATCCTTCTCTTCTCCAGTTGAACAATCCCAGCCCTCTCTCTCCTCCTATGTCAGATGCTCCAGTCCCTTTGTCTTTGTGGTCCTTCATTGCACTCCTTCCTGTATATCTGTGTCTCTCTTGTACTGTGGAGACCACAAGAAGATACAACATTGCATGCTGTCTTCTCACCCCTACTGAGGAAAGGGGAAGGATCATCCCCTCTTGACTTGCTGGTAATGCTCCCTTTAATGCATTCAGGGATGCTTTTAGCAACCTCTGCTGCAACAGCACAATGTTAACTCATGTTTACCAGTATTCCCTGGTCCTGCTCTAGGAGTCTGCTTTTCAGCTGTCCTAAAGTTATCTTGTCCCAGGGCAGAATATTATTTCCTTTTGAAGCACTTGACCTGGTTTTCAAGTCTGTCAAGGTCCTTTTGGTATATCAGAAACTCCTATTGGTTTCCTACTGCCAGCTTGCTGAACATGTGCTGTATCCAGTCATGCAGCTGAATAATGAAGTTAAACAGTCCTGGCTCCAGTATTTGAGGCCTAAGGTATACCATTAATGATTGACCTCAGAATGGAATTTGTCCTTCTGATCACAATTCTGAGCCTAGTGTTTCAGCCAGCTTTCAACCCATCTCTCTGTTCCATGTATCTATCCCATACTTTATTAGCTCATCTATGGGGAGGCTATGGAAGACAGCATCAAAAAACTTTTCTACAGCCAAGACAAACTACATCCACTGCTTCCTAATCCACTCAGCTGTCTTATTGCAAGGCTAACCAATCAGCTAAGCATGTTTTCCTCTCTGTGAATAGCTGCTGGCTACTCGCAGTTACTTTCTTATCCTTCATATACTTGGATATATCTTCCAGGATTATTTTCCCAAACAGCTTCCCAGGAATTGAAATGAGGGTGACTGACTTATAGCTCCTGGTATCTTTCAAGTTTCCCCTCCTAAAGACAAGAGTGACATTTGCTT